GCCAGCATGTGGGCGTTTACACATTCACAAACAGGTGTATACGATTTATGACATTCACCGAAAGAGAAATGTAAATATTCTGCGGTATAGTTTTCTGTTCTCTTTTTCATTTTTATTGTGAAAGCTCTTCCGAAATTGGGCTTTTCATTGTCATTTAAAGTGGCAATCATTGCTTAGCTTTACCATTTTTTGTAGGAAACACGACATATCTATTAATTAGAAAGTATATTTATAAAATTTTAAGGTCAACTTCCGCGGTATACCGGGTCAAGAAAATTGCTAAAAGGCATAGTATACTTTTTAGAGTCTTTTGTCGCTCGTGATTAATTCACGGTGGTTATAGTTTTTTACTAAATGTATTAAGCTTTAATCCAACTTTAATATTCAGTTCTTTTTAAAAGTACTCGTAAAAACCTTATCGTATTTTTAGTTGACGTTTATTTACCCCTTTTTGTTTTCCAAGGATAAGTGAAATGAATATGCGTTTTATTTACGCACTGCCACTAAAACTACAAAATACGACTTAGGGTATGGCGATTTGCTGGAATTTGATTAAACTTTTTGCATATTTCACGGCTGCAAACGAAAATGTATATAAAACTTGAGCAATTTGAACTTCTTTTGCGAATCGTTTGGCTTTTTTTTTCCTTTTTTTTAGTTATATACGGCTATGAATTTATAACGAAAAGTTTTGCATTTTGCAAATCATTTTTAACACCTGCGGCAGGGTTAAAGTTCAGTCAGCGTAAAACTTTGCAAATTAGGAGTCCTGCGCTGTTTCTTTCTCTTCTTCTGCTATTCATATATTTATATTTCGCTCAGCGCAGATTTAATTTAAAATGAGTTAACCTGTTAATGGTGCAATGATGAAGAACGAAAGAAAATGTATTCCAGGCATGACTCGTAAATTTATTTGCTGTCTGAGGAGAAGAAGGTCTAGATATCGGGGAAAGTAGAAAATCCAGAACAATGCATGAAACATATACATTGTTCGGGGTCACCGAGCAAATCAGCTGAGCTGCTGACCATAAGCAAACACCGAAGATTTATGGCTAACTAATCGACACAGGCAATCCCATAAATCTAGCCTCAGTTCTACTGTCAAATGGCCAAAAGGCCAGCGAGAGGTAAGCTTCTCGGCCAACAAGCCAAATTAAAGTTCAGACCCAATAAATGTTAATCGCTTGCTCTTTGTCTTCTCCTTCCTTAGTCCAATTCACCCTCTTCTTCACCTCAGTTTTCGAACCTTCTTTTGACTAATTTATCAACCTTTTGGGGTAAACATTTAGAAAAGTTTTCTTAAATGATTTCGGCGGGTAGTCGTTCAAACAACTATTTTTAGGTAAAATGTAAATAATGAGGTAAATATGGAACAACTTAAGGTAATTTTAAATATTATTTATATTTTCGGCCCAACATCGAATAAACTATAATATGCAATAAATTGTCAAAGCATTTTGTAAAAATGTATGTAGTTTTAGTAGAAAAAAACACATTTGTACATGTAAGTGCAAATAAATCATTATTTTACCCCTAATAGTTATCATATAAATATAAACATTTGTAAATCATAAATATACCAGTAAACATCGTCCTTCACTTTTTACAAGGTAATTAAGCAAAATGTATTTCAACTCAAACCCAAAGCAAAAGTAATATGTTTTTCTTTCTGTTCGTGCATTTGTTCATTACACCTTAACTGTTTCGGGCAGGTGCCAATGATGGGCAAACGTTGTTGAATTTATGGCCAATAAATTAAAAAACTTTTACACAGTTCCACAAATCCAAAGGGAACACGACAGTGCGCTTAGTACCTGGAAAGACATTTGGCAACATTAATTGAAAAACCCCGACTCTTGCAAGTGTGGCTGAGCATATCAAAGGCAATTACGGATGCCGTTAACAGCAGCCAAATGGCGAGGATACCACCCACTTGCCGCTGCCCCACTCATCTCATTATTTAGTTAATTATATGTTTGTGTGCCGGCAATTAGAACTCAGATTTCATTGTTGGCCAAAAACCATTTTGTGGCCTACTCGGTTGCCATCAATGGAGATGATGATGTCCATGAATGACTTTCACCGCCGAAAGGGCAAGCAGGCAACTTGGATCTGCTTTGCTTTGCTTACCGCAAACTTCTAATTAATTTGAAAGGAAACATTTGAAACGCCTTGTGTTGTGGTTACAGTAGCCCCTCCTCTCACAGCCACCCAGTGAAATGGGTCCTAGACATATGCAAACGCCTCTACATTTTCCTGTGCGCTCATTAGAAGGCAGCTCGTTAAATATAACAGTGCTTGCACTCTAGGCCAAGAAGCCAAATAAGTCATTCAATACCATTAAAGCCCTTCTGTGATTTAACAACTAGATTCGTCAAGAAACAAAATTAATAAAAAGTTTGGAAATTGTGCAAAGCTGGCGTTCATCTGTCCACTTCTCTGGCGAAAAAGTTCCACTCGAAAAACTGTCAAAATTATCTTGGCCAGCTAAAAGTTGTCCAACTTTAGGCTCTTAACACATTTAATTAAGAAGCGGAAAAACCCGAAATTTTTGCGGCCCAAGTGCCACACACAATGCATTAAAACTGAACTGAAAGTGAAATTGTTGGCAGTGCAACTTTTAGTTTTAGGAATCCATTTCGGTTTGGTTACATCATTTCGATGGCTTAAACCCTCTCGCTTTTGCTTTCCTAATTTTTATACCCTTGCAGAGGGTATTATAATTTTGGTCAAAAGTGTGCAACGCAGTGAAGGAGACATCTCCGACCCTATAAAGTATATATATTCTTGATCAGGATCACCTCCTGAGTTGATATAGCCATGTCCGTCTGTCCGTCTGTCTGTTTCTACGCAAACTAGTCTCTCAGTTTTAAAGCTATCGAATTGAAACTTTGCACACACCCTTCTTTCCTTTGCACGCAGTATATATGTCGGAACGGCCGGGATCGGCCGACTATATCCTATAGCTGCCATATAACTGATTGATCGGAAATGCCATAACTTTGGTGTTTGTAAAGTTAGGAAGCTGGGATTTTCTATGGGTTTTATATTTGGCCAATCAATCCGACCTACCAAATATCATAAGGATCAGCCGACTATATCTTATAGCCGCCGTATATCTGATTGATCGGAAATGCCATAACTTTGGTGGTTGTTAAGTTAGGAAGTTGGGATTTTCTGTGAGTTTTATTTTTGGCCAATCAATCCGACCTATTAAATTTCATAAGGATCGGCCGACTATATCCTATAGCTGCCATATAACTGAACGATTGGAAATGCCATAACTTTGGTGTTTTTAAAGTTAGGAAGTTGGGATTTTTTATGTGTATTAAGAATGCATCTTGTGAATAATTTTGGAGAATATAATGTACATAATATTCTGCAAGGGTATATCAACTTCGGCTCCGCCCGAAGTTAGCTTTCCTTTCTTGTTTTTGTATTTTATTTGCTTGAGATTTTCCCCAAAAACCTTGCACACAACTGGGAAACAAGAGAAACAACAACAGCGAATGGAAAAGTTTCCCCAGCTATGCCAAATGTTTGTATAATTCCGTTGAAAAACTTTTAATAAGCTTACATTTTTTCTAAATTTTTTTTTTTTAACTTTTATTTTTACCATTGATATGAGCTTTATAACTTTAAAATTTGGAAAAAATGTGGGGCTTAACAGAGCGAAACTAATAATATAAGGCTTGAGGATTAAAGAGGACTATTCAATTGTTTAATTAGATACTAAAGCTCAGAGAGGAATTTTTTATTTTAAAAGAAGCTTAGCAATTAGATGTTTTAACACTTTTTGTAAGAATTAAGAATATTTGAAATATTAAATATATTTATTAAAATAGGAATACAGAGTAAACTAATTAAGCAATACTGACATCTTACCTGTTGTACAGACTGAAAGTCACTGTATGGAACATGTCAAGAGACTTGGCATGTCAACCGCAAAATAAACAAAATTCGTGACCAGAGGGAAAAGGCGTCCAAAGACTCACAACGATAGAAACTGACCCCAGAAGATCAGGGAAGGGAATCTCCATAAGTCATTAACCAAGTGATAAAGAACCTGGCCTTGGGGCAATACAAGTTGTCATTCAAGACGACGACAACGGCTTGTCATTAGCGGCCGAAAATGTTGCATTTAGTTGTGGGCTTGATGAATATGGTTAATTCCAGTTTATATACCGTGGGCCGTGGAGTCTGGGAAATATGTATTTGTCCCAAGGCAACGATGACAGCGCCTGACCAAGACACATTTTTCGTTTGTCCTCTAATTGCATATCTGAGGATGGTGATTATAATGGAGATGGCGATGATGATGGGGATGCCGTACAATTACCAAAGTCTCCTGCTGTGCCGAGCTCTGTTTTGATGTCGTGGCCAGAAGAAGAACCCCTGGCCTTTGGTCTTTTGGTCAGGCAATGCCGAGTTTTAGTGTCTAATTAAAAGCAACAGCAACTGGCCTCTTAATTTATGCTCGTTCAGGGACAGGTTCCGAGAAAATCCCTCCTCACATTTGGCTTTTCCATTCAGTATTTGCATGTTTTCTCTCGGGATGCTTAATGTTCTTGCCTTGAAAAGTTTACAGCATAATTCGTACACTTGGCTCGTAATTCGCAGCTGTGTCGGAAGGTAAAAGTTGGAGGGGTAAATTGCATGTTTCGAGTCTTTGAATGTCGCACACCTGATTTCTCGTTTTTTTTTCGTAATGTCTTGGAGATTTTCAATGATCCCAATGAAATGATTATGTGTGCAATTAAAATACATTTTTACTTTACTTTTCAGTATTTGTTTAAATTAGTTTAAATTTATTGAAGCTGGCTTTGGACCGTTAGAGGTAAAAATAAAATCTGGATGACGTAACAACAATAAATAAATTTAAAAAATCAATTTTTATTTGTATTTCTTAAATATTATTATATTTTTGTTTTTACTTCAAGAATTTCTTTTACTAAATTAAAAACCAAGCAAGCCTTGTTTCACCTTTCGAATTTTGTTTTCCCAATATTTCAAATCAAATTCAAGTTCGTGAAAAATCACAGGAAAAACATTTAAAGTGTATGTTAAGAACAACGTAAAAAATTGGCATCCAAATTTATAGTTTTACAATTGGAAAAGTATTCTGAAAGTTACAGTGCATCATGGCGGATCCAGAAATGAATCAAGATACTGGGGTGTCACCTATGGATGGCGGTTCCACCTTTAACTTAAACGAACGATTGGATTGCGAGAATTTAGGTAAGGAAAAATCTGGAAACGTCAACTAAATATATACAAATGCTAAAAAATGTCAAAAATAGAGGAGATGACGGATGGTTGGACCGATGGCCAGAGACCTTCATTCGTTACCGCACTTATGCGATTGTTTGGCAATGTGTTCGGTAAAAAAATCAAGAGCTTCTTGTTATATTTTCATCTAATAATACCCTTTTTCGCAGTTGATATGTTCAGGGCGATTTTCAGCTGAAAAGAAATACCAAGAACCCCGTTTATCCGTAATCAGTATTTAAAAAAGTTTTCCCAGTTTGCTGTCTAATTTGAAAAATAAAGTCGTTTAGTATATCAATTCTGTTTATTTTAATATGACTAGTTTTATACAAGATTTTTAGCCGCAGTAGATTTCGGTTAATACGGGAATACGGCAATAGCAGGTGCAGGTTTCGAACTCTTTCACATACTCGGATATTTCGGAGAGGAACTTCTCTAGATTTTCCGGATTCCTAAAGATGTTTTTGTCCACATTTAGGTTGTTATCTACCAGTATTTTCCAGCGGCGCATGCTGGCAATGACGTCACCGCAAAAATCACGTTTATTTTTGTGCTCCGACTTTTTGATGTTTTGCATGAGCTTCTTTTGCTTCCCTGGAAATTAATTAATAACTTATTAATGTACCTGATTTCATAAAAACGTATACTTTTCAAAATTAAGAGTAGTTTTGTTTATAATCTTTAAAGGATTTACTAAACTTACTGTGCGCTAAATTCTTTTGCACTAACGCCGCGTGAGCATCCCTCTGTGAAGCATCGTACATCTCAATGATCCTGTACATGCGTTTGTCGATATCCTTGGACAATTTCAAGGCGGTTTCGCACTTCGGCTTGCATTGGCTCCAATAGCGCGCCCCCTCAAACGGACTTCGGCTCAGCTTATCGCTCCTTTTAAAATTAAGTCGATCCTTATTTCTGGAGGCCACGTGTTTTGCCTCTTGCGATTTCACATTGCCATTATGAAACCGAAAGTGTAAGCTTGCCAGCAGTTTCTCTATTCGCGACATGCAGCTAAGGGTAAATTTATAATATATTTTATCCAGTTAAAAAGTGGTTTTAAGGTTGATAGAAATATTCAAGCAGCTATCGTGTTAGATTTTATATAAATACTTACTGGCTTTAAACTATATACTTAAATATAAGCGAAAATAACGCCTGTTAAAATGTTCAACGATAAAAGTGAGCTATTAAGTTAATGTAATATTGAGTTACACAAAGATGTTTAAAGTGCGCATTATCAATAAAAAAGGTAGTATAATAATAAATGCTCACTTGGAGTTCTTCAGGGAGTAGACTCCCGGAATCGCGTAGGTGCGCAGCAGGTGGTGCAGCTTGAAGGCCACGCAGTTTAGCAGATCCTCTGCGGCGCACACCTGCAACCTTAGCAATTTGCTGTGGTCGTGCACCGTTTGCCGGCTTTTCCAGCCCCGGAACAGAGCCTGAATCTTGGTGGCCGACCTGTTGTAGTGATCCACCAGCCTCTTCTGCAGCATGTTCTCCACGAAACTGTAGTGATTGTTTCTGACCGAGAATCCGCGCCACCACCGCTGAATCGTGATGGCTGCCTTCCTTTTGTCTTGAAACTTCTTCCGGAAAAAGAATCTCCGCCAGTTTTGTTGGATGATTCGAGCTGCCTTATACTGTTTGTAGTCCAGAAGGAGCATCCAGGTACTGAAATGTAAAGCATTATTTAGCTAAGTGACCAAGTTATTGCATTAAATGGCAGATTCGGTTTATCAAAACATCTTGATTTAGCTTTATGGCAAGTTTATTGTACTGTCTTGTTATACCCTTGCAGAGAGTATTATAATTTCAGTCAAAAGTTTGCAACGCAGTGAATGAGACATTTCCGACCCTATAAAGTATATATATTCTTGATCAGGATCACCTCCTGAGTTGATATAAGCATGTCCGTCTGCCTGTTTCTACGCAAACCAGTCTCTCAGTTTTAAAGATATAGAATTAAAACTTTGCACACACCCTTCTTTCCTTTGCACGCAGTATACAAGTCGGAACGGCCGGGATCGGCCGACTATATCCTATAGCTGATCCGACCTACCAAATTTCATAAGAATCGACCGACTATATCCTACAGCTGCCATACAAGTGAACGATTGGAAATACCATAACTTTGGTGTTTTTAAAGTTAGGAAGTTGGGATTTTCTCTGGGTTTTATATTTGGCCAATCAATCTGACCTACCAAATTTCATAATTTCACTATATGCTAAGCCGCCATATAGCTGATTGATCGGAAATGCCATAACTTTGGTGTTTGTAAAGTTAGGAAGTTGGGATTTTCTTTGGGTTTTACATTTGGCCAATCAATCTGACCAAAAGGATCAGCCGACTATATCCTATAGCTGCCATATACCTGAACGATTGGAAATGCCATAACTTTGGTGTTTTTAAAGTTAGGAAGTTGGGATTTTTATGAATAATACTCATAAAAAATCCCAACATCCTAACTTTAAATGCATTATATGAATAGTTTTAGAGAATATAAATTACAGAATATTCTGCTTAGCTTTTCTTTCTTGTTTTGACTGAAATGATCTTTTTATTACCATCTCCAAAAAATCAATGTTGGTAACATTTTGTTGATATATTTTGACTGATATTATCATTTTATTACCATCGCCAAAAAAAAAATGTTGGTAAGATTAGGACTTTTTCAGTCTTTTAATATGTGTACGCGGAGGTCTATATCCTATAGCTTCCATAGGAATAATTGGGTCAAATATCTACGATTTTCGGTTTTAAAAGATTTTTTTCTAAATCTCGCTGTATTTGTCTATTATAATATTTTTATCCCGTTTTTGGACTAAGACCTTGAGAAAATCACCAGCTTATTAGTTCAATGTTAAACATGCTACCAAATCTTTCCGATCGGATGACAGACCATATGGACTAGGCATATAGTTTACATAATAACCAAGAAAGGAAGCCAGCTTCGGCAAACCGAAGATAAGCCCTTGCAGTTATTACAAAACGATATTTCGATTTCTATGCCTATATTACTAAAAACTATGAAGCTATGTCGATTTTGCGCTGCATTTTGCCATCGTTTCTATGTCAGCTATATGATATTGTTGTCCAATTCTCAAAGGAATATTTTGATAAACAGAAACAAGCAGATAGTTTCAAAACGGAAACTAGTTTGCGTAGAATCTGAGGGACTAGTTTGTGAAGAAACGGAGATCTAACAAAAATACAATATTAAACGGGAAAAGTTGGACTTATCAGTTGTTCACTACCCTATAATGATTCGTTTCAAAAGCAAAAACATTGTACAGGATTTCTATAGGGGCAAACAAGCATTGTAGTCTCATGTTTATTATCTCTGTTTATATACATACATATGTTATAAGAATTTCGATCTTCGCATTCAGTTTAATTTTGTTCAGATCAGTCTAGAATTGACGTCTCTATCGGTCGCAATGAAATCGGAGTGTTTGGTGATCGTTTTAATGTTCTTTCTTTTTGAAGAACATCCGTTTACTGATGCTAACTCAATCAAAGATTTGCAACAGGATCCATCTAATCAGTTTATTAAAAGCGAATGCAATGAATATTGCTTTTTGATTTTTAAGCCTGTTCTTGATCATTTCGTACAACTTAAAGTAGCATCTGATACCAACCAGGAACTGAAAAGCCAAGTAAATACCATGAAAGAGACTATATTACACTTGCAGAGTCAGTTGGTAATAAAAGAAGAATTTATAAATGTGAAAAATGAGCAAGCCAAGGCCCACGATGAACACCTTAAAAATAGAGATGAACAAATTTTGGACCTAAGAAATCATATTAAATCGATTGAGACATCTCTAACTGAAAAATCGAAACTGCTTTTGGAATGCCAGAAAGCAGATGACAATTTACCTGACTCATGTCCCAGTGGCAGTCCCAATGGCATTTACCAAATAAAACTTCGCGGCCTTGAAGCATTTAAAGTGCCTTGCGTGTCGTCTCCATCTGGTTGGACTGTGATTCAGAGGCGTCTTGACGGATCCGAGAACTTCGATCGAAACTGGGATGATTATAAAAGAGGATTTGGGAACATAAGCGGAGAATTTTTCATTGGACTGGAAAAATTGCATCGGATGACAGAAGCACGACCCCACGAACTCTACATTAAACTTGGGAATTTTAATGGATCCACAAGCTACGCTCAATATGACGATTTTAAAGTTGGCAATGAGGACGAATTTTACAAGCTTAAGAATCTAGGAAATTATTCTGGTAATGCCGGAGACTCCCTTATATACCATAAAAATCAAAAGTTTTCCACATTTGATCGGGATAATGACGAAGATAACGGAAATTGCGCTGGGAATGAAAATGGTGGTTGGTGGTTTATCGAATGCTATTGTACATCTAGGTATGCATGTTAAATTATAATGTTATTTATTCTTATTAATTTAACCACTTACATTACAGTGCCCTCAATGCGAAATATTATAAAGATGGAAAAGCTAAAGGTTTGTTTACTTCAAACCTAATATTTTGGGGTACATGGCATGGATACGACTGGAAAAACTCACTTACCTTTGTGGAAATGATGATTAGACCTACATCATTGTGAACCGCAGTTGTTAACTATCAAAAACCATAATTTCAATCCAAAAGTTGTGAATTTAAAAGTATGAATTCTGTCTGTTATAAACTATTTTGTATACTAATTAATACCATTAATATTTGAATAAATTAAACCTGTTTGCAATTGACTTCCCCCTTTTTTGTTGGAAGTTTTTTGATTTTTCCTGGATGGAATCCCGCAATAAAATTAATAACACTCCCTTTAAAAACGGAGCTCAGGAGACTATACATGTTTCTTTTTATTTGGATGCCATTGCCAGCCACGCTTAGTATTTATTAAGTTGAAATACACTTGCAGAATATTTTGTAAATTATATTCTCCAAAATTAATGCATCATATTCTTAACACTCATAAAAAATCCCAACTTCCTAACTTTACAAACACCAAAGTTATGGCATTTCCGATCAATCAGTTATATGGCAGCTATAGGATATAGTCGGCCGATCCCGGCCTTTCCGAATTATATACTGCGTGCAGAGAAAGAAGGGTGTGTGCAAAGTTTCATACGGACATGCTTATATCAACTCAGGAGGTGATCCTGATCAAGAATATATATAGTTTATAGGGTCGGAGGTGTCTCCTTTACTGCGTTGCACACTTTTGACCAAAATTATAATACCCTCTGCAAGGGTATAAAAATAAACTTTTTATGTGTCGAACCTTTTAATTAAGTCTGAAGTCTGTAAGTCTTATTTTAAATAGTGTACATTAAGTATGAAATTGATATTTTGCTTACCGGGAAATATGTTGCATTCTGAATTGAGATGATTTTACTGATCCCTGGTTGGACTCTGATAATACACTGCTACAAATGGTGAGACGTGATCAAGTATTTATACGTATACATCAACTGAGCAATCGTGCTTACGGTACTTCCTCACTTTGTGGCGCAGTGCCCCTTCGGGTGTGGTGCATCATTGGGATGTGGCCTGAGAACATACTGCTAAAGTAATCGCGTTGATTCCTGGTACAAATAAATCTAAGGGTTTTTCCTAAACTTAAATCTTTGCTAAATTTAAATGTGTGTGTTTGTTGGACGATCCGTGTGTTTTAACATGTTTTAATAGAACAAAGTGTTGTTTGTGACTGACATCTCGATGGAAAATCGATGATTCGGAGATTTCCGTCTAGCAGCTGGCTATAATTTATGGCCATCGGCGATTATTTCCGCATAAATCTTTGGGTTTTGCGTCCGGGTCTTCTTTCAGACGACATATTTTATTTCGCCTCTGTATCAACATGTTTCCCGCTTATCGCGTCACGAGCAAACAAATTTATGTGACTTTTTCTCCACCTCGGGGTTCCATAAATATTCCCCAGACTGGTTAGAGTTTTCTAAGGCTGTATTTAATTGAATTGTACGACTGTCTGTGGGCTGAAGTTTACTTGGGCTCAGCCAGAGCCTCCTCATTGGCAGATTCCCATTTATGATGCCCTTGACTGCAACGGGTCTCCAATTGTGTTCTAATGCTGACAAATGGTCGAGGTTAAGTTGCCATAAATTCGGCACACCAAATGCCGTTAGGTGGTGGTCGTCCGGCTGCCACTTGAAATGAAAATCGATACAGAACCACGTCGCTTTCCCTGCTCATTATGCGCCACAAATGAACCGCACAGGCACACACACACACACACACACACACACACAATCGCAAACAAACGGGCGGAAATGAAACGGAAATTCTCATTTATGGCGCCCTTGACGCCATTTCCAGTTTGGCCGCTATCTATTTGGCCCTGACAAGTTGGCACTGCTCGCTGATTTCTGATGCAGATTGCGATTGCAGGTCCTGATTGCAGCAGCCATGAGATTTATGGTCTATATACCCCGTGCTGACCCAGTAACTGATAGGAAAACTAGACCAGAAAGGGCCAACAATTTGGTACGTCCTAGTCTCTCAAAAACTTTTCACCTTGAGGATTCGCTTGCGGTTTTTTTGGGTATTCGACTGGCATGGCCGTAAATTAGTTTTTACACCTGACTGACTGGGAACAGCATGTTGTTTGATCTCTCGAAGGTGTATTTTAATTGTCCTCCAATAAGAAGTCTAGACGAGAGGACGGGAGCTGCCTCAGCTATTTATTTTTGGAATGTGTTCGCTTGTGTAAATACAGAAAGGTCCTGCCTGGGTTTATGACACACACAAAAGGAAGGGAGCCCAAATCTAATTTGAAAAGTACTAACCCGTAACGGGGCAAGGGCCATATATCAAAAGAAGCTGCTAACCCAAAACCCGACAAGCAAGGAATTTACGAGCCAGCACCCCAAACATGTTAACCATAAAATTGCTCCGAAAGCAGGGGGAAATGGTCCAAAACCCACCTAGCTCGCCTTTAAGAAACCCCTTTAATTTTCTGTGGCGCATATTATCAACTAGAAGTAATTCGCAAAAAATAGAAAATAAAATCGTTCAATGATTTAAAACCAAATTAAAAAACCCTGGACTGCATGCGCCCCATTTCTCAATACATTCTTGATACGATGTTATAGTTTATCTAACTTTAACTCTTAAATAAGGACAAAGTTTTAGTCAAAAGTAGCTAAAACGAAAACGACATATAAAATGTACATTACATATGATTTTTCTGACAGATTACAAGACAATGATTACAACCCTAAAATGACATTGAGAAGTTGGCTGTTACTGTAAACTTCTACATATTTTGACCAAATCAAAGAAAACGTAAAGTAGGCTAGGCGTTAATGGTGAGTATTAAAATGTGAACCAATTCATTAGCTCATCAGAACTCACACTCGACAGTAAATTACAGCAGAAACGTCTGGTCAAAGAAAGATTGTATCATCGCTCGCTTGTGGACCGGAAATTAAGAAAAAAATATATGCAAGTAAAAAATCCAAAAATTATACATCTTTTATAAATTGCATACACATTGCTGGAGGCTGTGGGCTTCAGCCGTAATCACCATATAAATGGATCGCATCAAGATCGGCGAGCAGCTGTTTTTCCAGCGAAGTGACGGACGAGTCCATCCGGTGGTCTGCACGGCCAAGAATCCGGAGCTCGACTCTGTGACTGGGGAATGGACGGAGGGCGCGGTCGTCAAGGGCAAGGAGGTGCCCATAAGTCTGCTGATTAACATTAATCGTCATATATTCGCTGAGAATCAATCGCCAGCGATGGTCTGCACTCCATCGCCGACTGCGACGGGCTCAATGATTCCGAAACCGAGGGATTCGAGTCCCGCAGAGGGACCTCCTGACTCCTATCGGAAGTCCCTGGGCAAGAATCCCTATGCGGAGCGCATGAGGGAGTTCCGCAGTAAGATGGCCCCAAGAAAAACCGAGACTCGTTCGGTGGTCAATCGTGACCTGGCTGGGGCGTCTACCTCGCGAGTGGCCTTTTGCAAGGCCCGCAATGTGAGTCCCGCCCAACCACGCAAGTCCCAGGGTGCCAACAACAACCAACGCTGCTCCAGTGTGGTGAGGGAGGTGAACCGCATGAAGGAGGAGCGGGAGAAGAGAAGGGCTCGCCAGGCGGAGCAGCTGCTGGAGAAGGATGCACTTCGTCGCCAGGATCCGGGGAATCCCAACTGGGAGGTGGCCCTCATGCTGCGCCAATACCAGGCCACCTTGAACTTTTCCCCTCTCCGGTTCCTAGATCCACATGGCGACTTTGTGCAGCCAATCACCGTGTGTGTGCGCAAACGACCCATGAGTCGGAGGGAGAACAACTCCAAGAACATGGACATCATCACAGTGCCCACGGCCGATTCACTGATCGTCCATGAGCTGCGCCTCAAGGTGGATCTCACCAAGTTCCTGGAGCACCACAAGTTCCGCTTTGACTACACCTTCGACGAGGAGTGCTCCAATTCGCTGGTCTACGACCACACAGCTCGTCCCTTGATCAGGACCATGTTTGAGGGCGGCAATGCCACATGTTTCGCCTACGGACAAACGGGCAGCGGCAAGACCCACACCATGGGCGGGGAGTTCTGCGGCAAGGTTCAGGACTGCGGAACCGGCATCTATGCCATGGCAGCTCGCGATGTCTTCGAGGAGGTGTCACGGCCGGAGTATCGCGAACTGGGCGCCAAGATCACATGCAGCTTCTTCGAAATATACGGCACCAAGGTGTTCGATCTCTTGCACACGGACAAACCGCTGCTGCGGGTTCTGGAGGATGGCAGACAGCAAGTCGTGGTGGTGGGACTGAGGGAGATGCCGGTGACCAAGGTGGATGACGTCCTCAGACTGATTGAGCTGGGGAATAAGGAGCGCACTTCCGGCCAGACCTCGGCGAATGCCAAGTCATCGCGCTCCCATGCCGTCTTCCAGATGGCCCTCCACTTGCCCGATTCCTGGGGTCCCTACGGCAAGTGCTCCTTTGTGGACCTGGCGGGCAACGAACGCGGGGCGGATACGCAATCCGCCGATCGCCAAACTCGACTCGAGGGAGCCGAGATCAACAAATCCCTGCTGGCTCTCAAGGAGTGCATTCGGGCTCTTAGCCGCCAATCCAGTCACCTTCCCTTCCGTGGCTCCAAGTTGACGCAAGTCCTGCGGGACTCCTTTGTCGGCGGGAAGAAAAACAAGACCTGCATGATAGCCATGATATCGCCATCCATGAGCTGTGTGGAGCATACCCTCAATACCCTACGTTACGCGGATAGGGTAAAGGAACTGGTGGCCAAGGAAGATGATGCCTTCCAATCCCCAGGGGGGGATGAAGAGAAGGCCCCCGATCTGAACGATGAATCCGAGCCAGAAATCCTGGACTACGAGGAGCCGTTGGAGGAGGAACAAGAACCGGAATATGAAGATGAACAAAATCAGCACATTTCTATATCCTCTGAAGAAGCAAGTTATTATACTCAGCAAAATACCAGCAGTATGAAGGAACAAACTTCCCTTACGAACCTCAATGAAACCATAGAACTATCCAATCCTAAGAGTGAGCAGGTGAAACTTCAGCAAGTGGTTGAACAGCACGAACTGTTGATAGATTATCTGGAGAACTTTGTGCGTGATTCTCGGACTCTAGATCCCAAAGAGGAATTCAAAGGATTAAACGACGTATTCGTGGAACTGGCCAATATTGTAAATTTTACCAGGGACTTGGTACTCAATTTCAATGCTCAGCGATTAATTAACGGCATGGTGGACAAGGATGGGAAGCCGAATGAAAGTGGAAAGGATTTGCAGAAGAACGACTAGATAGACTCCTTCATAATACCCCCATTGTATTTATTTTGTACCACTCTGTATCTTTTCATTTGAGTTTTGGGAGACCTTCAATCGTCACAAATTTCGATTCGATAAACAAGCAGTTAATGAAAATTCAAGCACGAATCTAGTTTTCTTTCCCCACAGCCACGGCCCCACACTGCACTCAAGTTTCACTTGAACTCGCCGAGGTAAAATAAAAAACTTTTCCCCTTCCTGCGGACTTTTCTTTTTATATAGCTTCCCAACTTGCTGTATGAGTTTCCACCGCTCGCTGATACAAATTTATGACCGTCCAAAGTGTAATCAACAACATGAGGAAAGCGAGTGGGAGCGAACAAAAGAAACCGAACCTTTGGGGTGGATTTGTTAACTTGGTTAACGGGCAATATATCCGGCATCATATGTAACAGGTCCGCGAGAAGCCACAAGAAGTGTAAAAAGAACGGTGCGAAACTTTTGACTGCAATAAAGCAAAAAGTAAATGTTTCAAGTGACTCGAACAGGTATCCCGAAATATGGAGCAAAGAAGTTGGGATGCTCTTTTTGAAGTTTAAGATATAAGTTAAAATTGGCAATGTGGTTACTAAAGCACTCAATCAAAAATACATCAAAAATAAAAATAAGCAAAGTGATACAATTATAATGCATATTTCCAATAAGTAAGTCTACTCCTGGGAACAACAATAAAAACTTCTCCATTTGAAAAATCCTTTCTGATTTTTAAACATTTTCCCATTTGTCATATAAGCTCACTTTGTCGTCTCTTAGTTTACTATGTAGTGTATAATAACTTTCATAAAAACATCTCTGATAACTCATTCCAAATGATGTCCATGCTGATCAAAGATGAAAAAGTGTCCCTTTGGTGCTTTAAATTAGACTGAAGCTTTATATATAAATCTTTATGATAGGCAGATCCAAATCGTTGGTAGAGAATGCTTGAGGGTAAGGTTTAAACTCCAAGCTAATAACACTGCGAATAGATACGACATCGACATTTTTCTTTAATATTTCCAGATAATTAAAATATGTATTTTCAAGTTTAAGTTCTCAACCACTCAGATTACATATTTCAAATAATTAACTATGATGAAGCAAAGCATAAGCGTCGTTTTTTCAACGAACTTTTACCAAATTTTAAGCAAATAACAATTATTTGAAATTTTGATTTAAAATGGCTTACAAATTGTTTACCGAGTCGTGAACTTGCTTCGGTAAATTCTTGCAAAACTTTAAAGTGTCAAATGCTGATGACGACGAGCACGACGATGACGATGATGAAGCTCAACCACAAGCAGCTGTAGACAATTTCCTGCCCCTCCGTCATACTCCCGAAGTCTCTACACAAGTAAATGTAAAATTTCCCCCAGATGCTGAAAATTGCAACTAATTCCACGAGCTGAGGAAACTTTTGCAGAACTTGCCGCACACACAGAGATCTCTCATTTGGAAAACTTTAAAATTAGTTAAGTTCGAGCTGAGATATCCAATAATGCAGCCCCAAAATGTGAACAAACAAATTCATCTGCGACTTCAGTCTCTCTTCTCCACTTTGCTTACATTTGAATGGATTGGTTGGGTTTCCAGTTTGGTTTGGTCTGGGTTTTGGTTTAAGTTCGGGGCATATATTTGCATCAACTTTTCCTTTGATGTGGCCTCAAATTTGCGGCATATGTAAGACTACCCACACAAACTTGATCCAAAAACTTTCAATCAAATTAGCCCAATGCAATGAACGTTGGCTGGAGTATTTGAAAACATTTGTTTGTTATATATATTGGAGAAATATATAGATATTTTTCTTATGAATAATACTAAAATTACTAAAATATGTAGTAAATGAATTCAAGGAATTGATACGCAAACAAGTTTGGTTAAAAATAATCAAAGTTGTAAAGTTCATAGTGAAAGGATTAGCCAACTTGAGGTCAATAAAAATATAAATCTAAGACGCGACTTTAGCTTATCTTTAAAATATTTACTTATAAAGTTTTAATAGCGTTTGCATGCATTTTATTATGATTAAAAAAGTACATTGTTTAAGACATGAAATCGTCACTGCATTTATTTTTGTTTTAATTTGGGTAATGACTGTTAACTATTTTCAGTTGTTCTAATGAGGAAGCCTCTTCAGGAGCTCCCCGAGATACTTTCTGCTCATTGTCTGTTTAAGCGGTTTTGGGGGAAAAGCGAAAGTGCAGTGCTGAATTTTAACGAAATTTATATGGAACAGCAGCAGCTGCGAAAGAAGTTAAAAGGACAATTTACCTCCTTCTTGTGGCACTCTCATTTTCTTGTTCCCAGTTTCTGCTCCTGCTGCTTCTTGGCTTGGAATGCATGAAAGGGAAAAGCACAAAAACATTTTCACGTTTTCCCCAACTTTGTTGGTTTTTCCTAGTTGCCCTTCTTACTCGTCTTTTCTTGTGGGATTCGTTTTAAGCCAGACCAAAAGCACTGCAATGCCAAAGAATTTAAGGGGCTGTGGCAACGGGGAAGGGGGATCGGGGAGGGGATGTCGGTGGCTTGGTTTCAACTCGAGGCAAAACACTTAAGTTTTAACCCAAATTGTTGCCAACAAAGCGGTTTGTCTAACATTCTTTTTGAGAAAATTTTGTGAAAAAGTGTTTTCCAACAAGACCGAAACATACACACACACACACCCTCATGTGTTTCCACGTACGTCTCCGCATATAAAGCCGTGAACATCCAAAGAGTAAACAAGGCATCCGAAGAGCTAAGGACCAGCCTTGGATCTGCCCCCAAAGCTAAGTAACAATAAACGTCGGGCTGAAGGGGCAAGAGCGGGGTTTCTTAGGGGTTTTCATAGGGGCGGCAGTGGGGGTGGACTTTCGGGATATCAATAAGGGATGCAGTATTTAGGAGGGATTTCGACTGACTTTTATATAATATTATATTCTTTCTGGATTTGGTTCAATGATTTAGCCGTTAACTTTTTGAATAATTTAAGACATTTTAAGACACATTTTTTACTTTTTTTAAATTTCATTGAGAATTGTTTACGTGGTAGAATATATAAATTTTTATTTTTTTATAAAACGGCTTTAGCAAAACAATTAAAGATGTAGTCTTGATGAAATTATAAGTGCTAAGCACATATTTATTCTAGAAATAAATTATATTAGGCTTAAAGATGACACCAAAATTTAATTTATACCAAAAATGTAAGAACGCCACGTAAAAAAAGGGGTTAAAAGACAATTCTACTTTAACAATTAAATAGCCATAGTTAAAAAAAAAATCTATATTTAATTTCTGCCGCATATTGCTTAATTTATTTTTTTTATCTACGAGCTGCATTTATTCAAATGTATTTTTAAATTATATATATACAGCGTTTTATTCGAACTAATTTAACTAAGCTTGAAGGAATTCCAAAATGAGAACCAAGCTCTTGGTCCAGTCCTTTGACAATCGCTGGGAATGTGAATGGCAATTCGCAGGACCAACCAATATTTTCCGCATGCCACCTTCGGGCTAACCCTTTTGCCGCCCCCATTTCCCGCCCCCGAGGCCTGTTAGCCATGTCTGATGTCTAATGTCTGGCCTGCCTGCCAGCGACATGTTGACCTTAAAAAACTTGACGTGTTCAAATGTTGCAAAACAACTCGAGGGCTTTCGACTTGAGCACTTTTTCAGTTCTGTTCACTGTTCGGTGTTCACTGTTTGGTTCGCTTTTGATGGCGGTGCAGTGTGTGTGTGTGCTGCTATTCCCCTCTCGCTTGCCCGTGCTCGTGCCATCTCGCTCTGACATTCTGTTTGACGCACATGAAGTGCCGCACTTGAAATATGCTTTTCGCCTCTGGCCAAAAGGAAAAGCGGGGAAGGGGGAGGTGTGGAAAATGTGTTTTGACAAGTGTCACTTATGCGTAGCTTCTATGAAATATTCAAGCCCCGCAAAACCCCTCGCTTTCCATCGCGTTGTAATTGCAATTGAGTCAAATGCAAAAGGGGAGGGCTTATGGGGCGGATGAGCTATATAGATGTCTGTGTGATCAATGCGTTTATCGAGTGCCGACACACACCCACAGGGACAAAAAGAAATGAAGAGACCTGGAAAAGGGATGTAATTAATTTGCACCGAAGGACTTTGGCAATGGCAATTTGAATGAGCTATAAAATAAACACAGGAAAGTGGAAAGGAATAGTTGGTTTAATATATATATATGTTATTTTCAAGGTCTTCAAGGGAATGTTTTGCTTGCTTTTCTCTATGAAAAAAAAAGGATTTACTAAAGCATTTTTGAAAGTGCCACATATATCACAAGTGAGAAATATCACTTAAGAAACGTCTGGGCAATGGGCTTCCTTTAATAAAGATTTTGCATTGGTGATAAAATTTAATTTTGGTTGATGCTGGTTGTTGTTAAATATATAAAGCTTAAACAAATACTTTTAAGATATAAGCAATTAAATATTCGAATATTTTAAGATATTTTAAACCGCACAAAAAATATTTTCTTAATTTTAAGAAATAACTCACTTATATTTACATTGTTAATAATTAAAACAATGTCTTGCTTAAATGTCACATACTTCTTCCAATACATAATTAACTTGACAAACTAACGATAAGCGATGGCTTAGAATCTCAAAACATTAAAACCATATCTAATGAAGCTCGAGCCAGAATTACTGGGAGGGCAAGCACCTGAGCTGCCCCCGCCAACTTTTATTAAATCCATCCGTAGCCAATTGAAATCGCTCCCCTGTTCAGTTCGGTTCTGTTTCTCCCACGCAGACCGGCACTCCACAAATTACCAAAGAAAACCGAATCCCCCAGTGGAGCCAACAAGTTTAGAGCCACACAGCCAGCTCCCCAAAGGCAGACGGACAGATAACTCGCTGCTCAGACTGTGGCATTTAATATGCGAACCTTTTTCGTGCTTAAATTTCACAAATAGAGAGAGCGCACAAAAGCCATTTCGTCCTCCAGGGATTTTGCTATAAATATTAAAGCAAAGCAACGCCGAATCCGGTGCAAGAGAATATTTAATATATATATTTTGATATGAATTTAAGACCGACAATTCCCTGGGCAGGTCAGCTCAGATCGCGGCCACCCGCGTCGTATACGTAATACGCCCATTAATATTTGGGACACGTTAAAGAGTTGGCTGAAAACTTTAAAGAAATGTGCTACTCTTAGCTTCCAGACCTGCTTGCCGCAACCCAGACGGGTAGTCATTTGTCAGTGGGTTAAAGTTTTTCCCCAAACTGGAGCACTGCTCCGTTAATTAGCATTTTACCGCAATCAAACGGGGTTTGCCCGGCATTCCCACCCCGTTCTGGCCACCACTGGCAAATGGCAATTGGAATGTAAACTGCGATAAATGTTAGGGGTTTTGCCATTCTGTATCTTGGCCATCTCCAGAGGAATTAACTCGACTATGGTAATGTGCAATTCAATTGCCCTTAATCATGAAATATTCCTGGCTTTCCTAAGGGATAATGTTATTATTGCTGTTTTTGAATAGAAAAAAATTAAAAGAAAATAAAGCCGAGGGGTGCTGTATAAGCTTCTCGACTTTTGTAAGGCTATTGGAGATTTTTCTATAATAAACATTCTGTATAAGTCCATTGTTTAATAATTCTTAAATTTCTCAGAAAAACATTATTTTTTATACACTGTTACCTAATGCAACAAACTCTACCATTATATAAAAATAAGCAATAGCGCTCCCAAATTAAAAATTAAGATTGAGTCTCATTTAAAATGGAACCTTTAAAACAAACATAATGTAATAATTAGGCTAGAAATTTGTTTATAAATTTTAATTTTTCTTATGACTAATAAAAATAGTAATAATACAAATATAGCCTCAAATATTTGGTCTTTGCTTTTACGAGTTCTTCCCTTTGTAAATAGATTACCAATCTCCGCCTCTTAAACCTTTAATACTTGTGTGTTCCTAGTTAAGAAGTATATATGAAGGCTAATTCTAATTTGCAATTTCCAACTGGTTCCGACAATTGCTGCAAATAGTAAATATAATTCTTCCCTTTCAGGAATTAGCATAGCAAACACTTTGTAGTGTCCCCAACTAACCAATCTTCTGGCCCGCAATTTCCCTGCATAGTTTTTCACACCTTTTTTCGCATTGAGGGGGCTTTTCCTTGTGCACAACGACATTCGGGTCAAATGCGTATAAATTTTAAGCCAAAAACACAAAGGCACATTCCAGGATATGTGTGGAAAATGGCGAAAAGGGGCGGCTAGCTGGGGAGTTTTCCCTTTGGGCCAGCAAAATCAAAGGCGAACGCTGGAAATTGAGATCGAGAATGGCAAACGCTTAGGAGCAATTACAAATTCCGGTTCTGTCATCCTCGGCTCTGTCGAAGCGGAAGTCATTATCGTGGCAAACAAAACCTAATAGGGATGGGGTCGACCCCCTCTCTCCCCACCCCCCACACTTCTTAACCCCCCCGTGCACCCCTTAACCCTCGTGTGCCTCCTGGCTAACCGCAGGAACAACAACTGTAACACGTCATTACATACATTTGCGACAACTTGGGTGGGATTGGGTTTTCTGGCTTTGACTATACGTGTGGCTACGGGTTTTGTCCTCATTATCGAGTTAATTATGTGTGTGTGACCGTCTTTATCAGGGTGCCAGTGTGTTTGTGTGTGAGAAGGTAATTACAGCGGGCCTCCATTGTTGGCCAAAATCGCATGGAACTTTGACTGTGGATTTCGGGGTTTCTTGCCTCTCAGTTTGTCCTCCATTGATACTCCGGTGTGTGCTCACCCACCCACCCAATTTTCCACCCAGCTCTTTCCCCCGAGTTTTCCACCTTTCGCTTCGATTGTAATTAATTTGCAAGGCGACTGCCCTAATGATGCGGTTCGTGGTCTATTTAAAGTGATGAATGTCTCCGAATAGCGAGTAAATCTTTCTCATCAACTTTTACCTCTTGTGTGTTGAACGATATCAGAAATATGGCGCAAATATGTTAACCCATCATTTACACCAAATAATCGGACTTTCGCATCTGTTGTCCATTTTTTTCGACCGTCTTTCCTTTTTTCGTTGGCAGACCCAACTCAATGTTCGCGATCCCGAAGGTTAATTACATTTATCCAAAACGCAACTGAACCCGCAGGACATTGACTTAATTTCCCTGGCGTTTGTTTTTCTCCTTCCTCGCTTTCGCAGTATTTTTTCTTATTTTTTGCTTTTAATTTTTTTAAACGCTTGGCAAGAGGAAAAAATGCTGAAAAAGTCGAGACCAAAGTGCTGCCAGCAATTTCCTCTATCTATCTTTATTTTTTCGCCTTTCTGTAATGCTCGTTGAAGCGCCTAAATGGTAATTAAAAATTGTTGCATTGCCGCTCGAATGCGTTTGCTATTTATGTAGTTTGGGGCATTACGTAATTTGCCGCGGACTTTCACGGAATTTAAGGTTCAGTGGATTAGCATTATATCATGGTTTTATTTTCTGTATTTTATTCTTTTCTATTTTATTTGGTAAAATATTTTTGATTATTTGTCCATGGACTGAGATTTTATTTGGCTTAAATTTTATAATATATTTTTCATTACAAAGAGAGTTGATTGATACTCGTATTATTAATTTAATAGGAATAGTAATTATTATAATGCAGTGGTAAAATCTTAACTTTTTCAGAGCTTTAAACATTGCTATAAATATATAATATACATATGTTTTTGTGAACATAACTTTGTCTAAGTTGGCAGAGAACAAACTTCTTTCCGTTTCGACTGCATTTTTGGACGTGTTTGCGCCACTTTACACCAAAGCACCTTGCCTTGGTCTGTTGAAAATTGCAAAATCGAATGCATTGCCAAAATAAATTCTGATTTGACAGCCAATAATCGACAGAGGAAAGTTGGCAACTTTTCCGAGGTGTCAGCACGTTCCGAAAGGCTTCAAAGTGGAGGGAAAAAGCCTGAGTCTGGGGAAAAGTTGATTATGATGACGTTGGCAGTGTTCTGTAATGCCGCAGTAGTTGGCTTAATCCGCCAGTGGCAGCTGCGAATGTTGCAGTTGCAGTTTCAGTGTCTAAAGTGGTGCACATCCCTAATCCAAATCCTAATCCTTAGCCACGCAATTCAAAAGGGGCCAAAACCACAGCATGTTGTGAAACAAGGCACAAAGTTATGGGTGTGCTTTGTGTGCTTTTTCCAGTACTTTTCCACTTTGCCTCTCATTTTCTCCTGCCCATTCAGGCATTGCGAGCTTAAATATTTAATTTCATTACGACTCCCACACACTCAAAGAAAATGTAAGAACGGCGACTGAGAGATATCAAGCATTCATCATTCATTGAAAAGAAAAAAAGATGCTGAAGGAGGGGAAAATGTGAGGCAACTGGAGAAAGGAAACATTTATGTGGCTTTCTTTATATGGTATGGAAACCCACTTCTGCCCTCCTTTTACTTGGCTTTTGCATCGTGAAATGCTCCGTTTTATTTTGCCCTGAGAGCTTGTTGGCAAACTGAAGAGGACAGATTCCCAAGGGAAGAGATTCCTGAATACAATTACGAAATTGTTAATAATAAGTGAAATGATTCTTTGACATCATTCTCTTGATATTCTTTACATGCTCATTGAAAGGAGTGACACAAATTGGGGCTCATATGTAATAATATAGGTTAACTGATCTTCTCAACGGTTCTTGTTCTTCTTCTTTTTAACTTGTACAAAAAATAAAAATGTATCTTCCCCCAAAAAAAATTCATTACAATGTTTTTTTTAAGCGAGTTTGAATTTTCAATTCAATTCTTCTCAACGGTTGATGTTGCCCTTCTTTTTAATTTGTACAAAGAATAAAAATTTACCTTCACCAAAAAAATAATCATATCAATGTGTTTTTTTAAACGAATTTAAATTTTTAATTCAATTCTTTTAAAGCTATTCTTATAAAACTAAAAACCAAAATATTTTCTTTTATGTTAGTTAGTTGACATGAATTTATATATATCAGAAGGTTTCTTATTTTTTTTGTATTATCAACTTTTACGCCGCAACCGGAAACCAAATATCGCTTCCGCCGGATACTACTGTCATGTCAAGGGCGGAAAACCTAAAAAACATACGGGTGAACTGAACAAAATGCGGATTTCATTGGAAAAGCCGATGGCGTGGGAATTCAAGGCAAGGATTGCACTTGATTTGCCATCAGCCCGCCGCCTTTTAACCCTCAAAAAAACGTTACTACGCTACTAACGTGTGCAACAAAAACCAACACTTTATATTCTTTGTATTTTGTTTTGGGCGCCGGCAATAATTTTGTCAATAATATTTGTTTGTTATGGCCATAAATGCAAGTTTGGTTTTTATTAGTGGTTCTGCCAGTTCCCTTTATTTCGGCGTGTCAATGGCAGCGAAAGTTTTGAGAAAAGTGGGTAGAAATGGGCAAAAGAGCGGGGGATCGGGAAAAGGGGCTTCCCTGATATTGATATACTAGCCAAAGTCATGCAATGCGGCAAATGATAAACAGCAACGCCTTCAATAACAGTTACAATTGCTGGTGGCAGGGGCAGGTGTTAAGGAAATTGCGGGTGGGTGAATGAGGTAAGAGCCACTATAAATAGATGTCTCAATGAAATTATATCGATACATGCAATTGAAAGTGAAACGGAGACAGAGTTTGCTAACAAACAATATCTTTAAGACTGTCGTACTAAAGCTTTTTAAGCTACAAAACCTTTAGTATCCGCTTATCAATATTCTAAAACCCAAATAATTCCAAAAAATGTATATATAGTATATATCATATGACTGCTAAATGCCCAAGTGGCTTTTAGCTTTACTATGACCAATTCACTTAGTGATAAAAACCCATAAATGCTTAGCCATAGATGGAAAAACAGCTGTTTCAGAGTACCCAGTTGAGCTCGTTTCGTAAAGTAAAGTGAATGACAGTCAGTACTAGACGCACTATTCATCGAAACAGTAAACTTTTTATAGACAATGACCAGCAGTGAGAACTTTACAGCTCCGGGCGGTACGGACATTAACTCTAAAGCTCCGGCTATATAACTGATAAGTGATTCTTGTTTAGTGACCGGGGAAGAGCAAGCTCATAACAATCTGATGATGGTGATAGCCACCTTGACATGGCTGATGCTCAGCTTCTTAAGTGAGATATTCAATAAAAACTGGATGTATTTGAAAAACTTAAAACTTCTTTTTTTCCTGGCCAGCTCTCATCATTTATTGCTGCAATTACTGGCAAGTTTTGAGACCGCACTGGCGAAGAAACCGGGAGGATTCCGAGCCACAGCAAAGCACTTTGCTATCAGTGGATGATTAGCTGGGAAATGCAAGGAAATGCCATCACAAAAGAGATGGAAATGGCCAAAAGGAGCAAAAGGGGGCGAACAGCTGCCGGCGAACATCCTTGGGCCTTGACACTGGCCATATGCCCCTGTGCAGCAGCTTTCATTTCCATTTTCCATTTCCGCTTCCGCTAAGTTAATTCCACACGACAACAGAAAAACAAAAAAAATGAGACCCAACAAAAACGGAAAATTCCATGTGTTGCTATTTCCCTTTTTTTTCGCGTGTCTCCCTTCTGCGCTTCTTGCCGTTTAGTTTACATCTTCTCCCGACTTTTTCCTTTGCCCAAAAATATTTTATTTCCCTCGGCTGCCAGGCAACCCAACAAAAGCGGAGGCAGCCGTCCTGAGATATTTGCAGGCTGAGCTCTCATTTCTTTGGCTGGAAAAGTGAAAAGCATCTTTTATGCAAATTTAGCAGGTGGGCAGAAAAGAGCGGGGCGCACCAAACGGAGGTCCTGGCAGATGGGCGTGGCAGGCCGGAGCTAACATGACTTCCGCTCCTTAACTGGCTTAATGTTGCTCGGCTGAAGAGAAAAAGAGTTCAGCAAGGAGAAAAGTCTGAAAGGAATTTAAAAAAAATGGGAAATAATTATTAGATTAAAGCTGAAAGGTTAAAGGTGAACAAATACCTTTGAAGTCAACTGAATCTCATTTCATGTTAATGCAAAAGTACGCAAAACCTGAAAAAGATCTATAAGTTGGTAGGCCATGAATGGCTATTTACTATTAAAGATATTACATTTTGGTCAAAAGTTTACAACGCAGTGAAGGAGACATCTCCGACCCTATAAAGTATATATGTATATTCTTATTCTGTCCGTCCGTCCGTTTCTATGCAAACTAGTCCCTTAATATTAAGCTGCTTGAAACTTTCCCAAAAGTTGTCCTTCTATCACAGGTAGTACATATATATGTCGGAATGAGCCAGATCGGGCGATTATATCATATAGCTCCCATAGGAACAATCGGAAAAATAAATTTAAAAAGATTAATACTTTGTTGTTGTTTGTTCTTTGGGATTTGGTAATATTTAAATATTATGAAATTACAGTTTTCATTAAATTAAAATCGGATAACAATATCATATAGCTGCCATAGATTTGGCTTGCCGAAGTTTCCTATTGCCGATTGTTCCTATATTCGCGTTATGATATAGACGCCCGATCCGGCTCGTTCCGACTTATATACTACCTGCAATAGAAAGACAACTTTTGATAAAGTTTCAAGCAGATAGCTTTAAAACGGAAACTAGTTTGCGAAGAATCTAAGGAACTAGTTTGCGTAGAAACGGAGATCTAACAAAATTACAATATTAAACGGTAAAAGTTGGACTTATCAGTTGTTCACTACCCTATAATGATTCGTTTCGAAAGCAACAACATTGTACAGCGATTTCTAAAGGGTCAAAAAAGCATTGTAATCTCATGTGCATTATCTCTGTTTATAAGTAAATTGCATGTAAGAAGAGAGTGCTTATAATATTGTACATTTTCAGGTTTATATACATATTATACATACGTATGTACATATGTGTTATAAGAATTTCTATCTTCGCATTCAGGTTAATTTTGTTCAGATCAGTCTAGAATTGACGTCTCTATCGGTCGCAATGAAATCGGAGTGTTTGGTGATAGTTTTAATGTTTTTTCTTTTTGAAGAACATCCGTTTACTGATGCTAACTCAATCAAAGATTTGCAACAGGATCCATCTAATCAGTTTATTAAAAGCGAATGCAATGAGTATTGCTTTTTGATTTTTAAGCCTGTTCTTGATCATTTCGTACAACTTAAAGTAGCTTCTGATACCAACCAGGAACTGAAAAGTCAAGTAAATACCATGAAAGAGACTATATTACACTTGCAGAGTCAGTTGGCAATGAAAGAAGAATTTATAAATGCGAAAAATGAGCAAGCCAAGGCCCACGATGAACACCTTAAAAATAGAGATGAACAAATATTGGACCTAAGAAATCATATTAAATCGATTGAGACATCTCTAACTGAAAAATCGAAACTGCTTTTGGAATGCCAGAAAGCAGATGACAATTTACCTGACTCATGTCCCAGTGGCAGTCCCAATGGCATTTACCAAATAAAACTTCGCGGCCTTGAAGCATTTAAAGTGCCTTGCGTGTCGTCTCCATCTGGTTGGACTGTGATTCAGAGGCGTCTTGACGGATCCGAGAACTTCGATCGAAACTGGGATGATTATAAAAGAGGATTTGGGAACATAAGCGGAGAATTTTTCATTGGACTGGAAAAATTGCATCGGATGACAGAAGCACGACCCCACGAACTCTACATCAAGCTTGGGATGGTTAATGGATCCACCAGCTACGCTCAATATGACGACTTTAAAGTTGGCCATGAGGACGAATTTTACCAGCTTAAAAATCTAGGAAAATATTCTGGTAATGCCGGAGACTCCCTTACAGTCCATAAAATCCAAAAGTTTTCCACATTTGATCGGGATAATGACGAATATAACGGAAATTGCGCTGGGAATGAAAATGGTGGTTGGTGGTTTTACAGCTGTTCTATAAGGTATACAGGTTAAATCAAAATGTTATTAATTCATATTAACTTAACCACTTACATTACAGTTCCCTCAATGCAAAATATTATAAAGATGGAAAATATGTAGATGGTGGAACTTCAAACTCAATAAATTGGGGTACATGGCATAACTACGACTGGAACATATCACTTACCTTTGTGGAAATGATGATTAGACCTACATCATTGTGAACTGCAGTTCTTAACTATCAAAAACCATAATTTCAATCCAAAAGTTGTGAATTTAATAATCTTAATTCTGTCAGTTATAAACTATTTTGCTTTCGATCAAATGTAAGTTTCGGAGAGTTCAAAATATTCCTGTATTCCATTACTACGATTACTATGATTACGATTATCTAAGAGGCGCTAATGGTGCTTGATTCTGGCTGAATATTACATCATGTAATGAATTTTTATGCGATAAATGATTTAATAATATTTTCTTGCTACGCGGCAAAGTGCCTCCTTTCATCACCCCTTTCCTAATGATTTAAAAACAAGAAAGGAAAGCTAACTTCGGGCGGTGCCAAAGTTGAAATACCCTTGCAGAATATTCTGTAAATTATATTCTTCAAAATTATTCATATGATGCATTCTTAATACTCATAAAAAATCCCAACTTCCTAACTTTAAAAACAACAAAGTTATGGCATTTCCAATCGTTCAGTTATATGGCCGCTATAGGATATAGTTGGCCGATCCCTATGAAATTTGGTGGGTCGGATTGATTGGCCAAAAATAAAACCCATAGAAAATCCCAACTTCCTAACCTTACAAACACCCAAGTTATGGCATTTCCGATCAATCAGTTATATGGCGGCTATAGGATATAGTCGTCCGATCCTTATGAAATTTGGTAGGTCGGATTAATTGGCCAAAAATAAAACGTATAGAAAATCCCAACTTCCTAACTTTAAAAACACCAACGTTATGGCTTTTCCGATCGTTCAGTTATATGGCAGCTATATGATATAGTCGCCCGATCCGGCTCGTTCCGACTTATATACTACCTGCAATAGAAAGACAACTTTTGGGAAAGTTTCAAGCAGATAGCTTTAAAACTGAGAGACTAGTTTGCGTAGAAACGGACGGACGGACAGACGGACAGATACTTTATATAGGGTCGGAAATGTCTCCTTCACTGCGTTGCAAACTTTTGACTGAAATTATAATACCCTCTGCAAGGGTATAAAAAAGCATATTTATTGTTTAAAACATTTACAATTGAAGCAATATTTTTAGCAAAATAAGCAATAAGACCGGAAGCTCATTTCAGTTTTAGTTTTAAGTTGTTAAGTGATTTGGTTTCTTCCTATTTTTTGCTCACTTTCAACGGCCACGTACTTGACATGTTTACTCGTATACACAGTAATGGCGCCTTTTCAGAAATATTTTTGGCTTTGTCGTTTCTTTAAGTATTAGCTACATTTTACTACATTTTATAAACTATTTTCGAGAATAACTAAAAATGCTGAGTCTGTCATTCTTTTGCTGGATTACTTCTAAAGGTCTATCGGTGTAATTAAATTTCGATATGATACTGAAAGAAATCACACAATCAAAACTTTCTATTTAGCTTTCTGTTCTCGTGTAGAAATGTAAAATCACCAACATATTTCAAAGGTAATCATATTTAATTCTTATAATAATACCTTACTTTCTTATTAAATAAATCTAAAGCTTTAAACACTAATGAAAAAAAACTCTTCTACTGTATTTCCATTTTCAAACGTAGGCAGCAACAATTATCCGTAACCCATTTACGATGGCACACATCATTACCATTCACCATCGAAATCTGCCTTCATCCTTAATTCTCAACCTTTAAAATTTCGTCAGACAGAAATCGATTTGCCGAAGGCCTCGACAAAGCCTTTATCACATAACTCAGGCCAAAGCCAAACTAGAGTTGACTTCACAATCAGCTGTCGCAAGGGGGAATGCGGAAAAGTGGGTGAAAATCGAGGGAAAAGCGGGCTGGGAAAGAGGTAAACTCTTGAGAAAAGTTTTCGTCGGCACCAAATCAAATGCCGATTATCGCCCAGTTAGTTGCACTCACAAAGGAAACCGGGAAATCCGTTCAATTGAGAGTCGTAGTCACAGTCGAAATGGTAGAACCAATTCGTGGCCTGGCACCAAATGTGATACTCCTTCCTCGTTCTGGTTCAGACCCTCTGCTTTCAGGGAAACCTACGACTGTTCACTCATTATCGGCGTGTTTGTTTTATGAAGGTCGTTTCCAACAGCCCGCACAAAAGGATTCGGGCACGCACGCACAGACATCGTCGACAGTGTCGTCACCCCATTCTCCAGCCCTCTTCTATATAACCCCCCTCCCCCCAAGACCAATCTCCAGCCCCTAGAAATCTCTGAACATTTCTGACAATGTTCACTGAGAAAAGGGATTTCTGAATAAGTTCGTGAAACGGAGAAAAATATTAGAAATCATCAGCAATATTATAAGTATGGAGTTTCCTTATGTGGGCGTTGGCTTATCACTAAACAAACTATTATTAAAGACAAAGAAGCCCAAAGTTGTATTGATTAAATGCATTCAAATGCATTCAGCTTTTGCACAAAGGGCAGAATTGATAAGGAAATTGAGCAACACATCGGAGAGTGCCTTTGTTTAGTTAATCAAATAATGTTTGTAGCTAGTAGTCCAAGTTATAGAAAAACACTTTAACCATTACTTGTGAGTCTTATTCAAAAATAATATAATTTTAAAATTACATTATAAATATGTTTGGAAGCTTAACATGTTTCTAGCACTGTTGGTTCTAGTTATAATTTTTACCTTTGTTATAATACCAATTTAAAGTCTTATCACCATTAAACTGAATAAAAATTTTAACTATTTCAAAAAATTATCGGGTCAACTTCTACCCGATAATTTTTATATTGATATATTTTTTATATAAAGTTGTATATAAAATATATTGTAGGTAAGAGAAATGTTATAGCAAATGCCCCTCGATATTGCTTATTTTCAGACTTTAATTTAAAGTTTTTAAGTCAAATATTCATCACAGTGTTGCTGTTACCATTTTGGCCATTGTTATTTGCCTGCTTTGCTTCTGCTTTTTCATCTGCTTTTCGTCTTTTCCCCGGTTTTCCACCTTCCTTTCCGGCTTTGTTGTCTTCCCCTTGCCGCTTCTGTTGACACTTTGCGTTATTGTTGACTGGTCCATCTCGGTGATATCTTTGATAAATCTCGGCTTTTGCTTGTCCAAGTAACCAAAAATTTGTCTTAACTTCAGCAAGTGCTAATAGCAAACACAGGGAGCAGAATGATGGAGAAAATGTGGGAAAACCGAGGGAAAAAGAGCCAAAATCCAGCTCAAGTTCATCATAATTGCTTATGACGATGAGTCGAGGGAAATCTGTTTCCCAGCTTTCCCTCTATCCGGTTGACTTGGAGGCTGCGCATTAAATTATTTCCCATTATTGACAGTTTATCAAATTGATTTAACAAACCGCCCACCGGAATCCCCGCTCCTGCCTCGATTTTCCCCGGTTTTCCAGCATTTCCCCCTTTCAGCCAACTTAAGTGTTCGTGATAAATGTTATGGTTGTTTGCTAGCTTCTTTTCCTGGCCCCCTCCCCCCTTTCGTCCTGCTATCTAAGCTTTAATGTGCTTTTGTTGCCTTTACTTGTAGTGTGTTGTTTGTGTGTGCGTGGGTGTAGTGTGGGTGTGGGTGTGGGTGTGTGGAATTTATGTAATGCCCAAAGTTGAAGCGTACTTTTGGGCTGTTTACTTAATGTTTCTGCTGCCGCCTCAGCCACTCTCAACATTTTTAGTTAATTTTAGTTTGTTTGCTCAGGAAAGTGTACTTGTACTCAAACTGGCTAAATGTTTTATTAATTTAAACACAAAGCTGTCCGGGAAAGCAAAAGTTTTCATTTATGGATTCTACCATGAAATAGTTATTCAGGTCCATTTGAGCATAAAGTCTTTGGAACTGAAGTCAGAGCCAAAATATACATTATGCATTGCATATTTGAGGCCTTTAAAGCTATGCCAAAAGGTGTGACAGCATGGGATTTGCAGAATGAAAATAAATATACCTCGCAAGTGTACTTCAATGCTAAGAGATTTTTAATAAAATTATTAAAGTAATTGAAGATAAAATGGCTAATAAAAATTATTCAACAAATAAATGATTGTATTATTAAAAAAAATTAGCTATTAGTGTCTCTATCGGCTTAAAGCAATATCTTCTTAAGCAATTATAAATATTACAGTTAATCTGGATTGATCTTAGCTGAAATTAGATTGTGAAACTCGAAGGCCTGAAGGCAAAAGGCAACTTATACCGCTGCCATGACAATAAATATTATTTCCGGTTACAAAAACGTTAAGAAATATAAAATAATAATGCAACGGAGTTGCAATCTACTCCCTCTCTGCACCATTCCCTCGATTTCAGTGGGATACATGAGGATGCTTCAGTTCAAATCGAATCGAACAATAGGGGAAAAGCTGCTTTTACCAAGTAGATATAATCCGATATTCATTTCCCCTTCGCATATGCAGGGAAGATGTTTGTTATATATTTTGTGTGCGCACAATATTTCTGTATTGTCGTCCTTCCCATTGTAATTAAGCCCATGCCAGGATGAAGTGCATATCAAACACGTCCTGGGGCATTTGGCTGCGTCTCAAGTGGCTGGAAAATGGGGAATCTGGTGGGGGAAAACGCTTCTGGTTTCCCTTTGTCTTGCTTTGAAAATGCCATTGACAATGGTGACTTGTGCCAGTACTGTCACGTCCTTGTCTAAAATAAAAAAAGAGAAAAAAAACGAGAAACAACAAAAGTCTGACGTCTGAAGTGGCGATTCACAAAAGGTCCGAGATAAAATCCGTTTACTTTTATATCCGACTGATTCCAGCCAATTTGTGTGTTTGTTTTCTATAACAGTAACATAAATAATCTCCCTCTTTGCTCGTTTACACTGGTCACTTAATTGCCCAACAATACTCGCCGTCCATAATTTATGCAAAATTTCCTTCTATTGCCACTCAACACCAAAAACAAATCTCTAATTCGTCTGTTGACTTTTAAATAATTTATTTGTCAAGTCAATGGCTGAGAGATAGTATTTAAGAGGTCGATACTGTATTTGTATATTTTCCAAAATGTCATTGGCAAATTGTTAATTAAATATTTACAAGGACAAACTGTAGTAAATTGTTGATTAATTATTTAGGGGTTTCAGTTGGGAGTCGAGGAACTCGTTGCCCTGCCTGTAAATGAAATAGTATCTAGATTTCACAACTTTGACTGCTGCTTGTTGCTGTTTTGCCAAAAACTTTCTAAAGTTTTCCCACCCACACAGGCTTCTGATTTTTCGACATGCCAACACTTGTTTTTCGACTGAAGTCTAAGTGATTTAGGCTAAACTTTTTCCCCGGAAATGTAGCGGGGAAAACTTTTGTTGTTCTGCATAATCGCCTGTCGGAAGTGTATCGAAAAAGGGAGCACTTTCGCCCGGCAAAAAAAAAAAAGGATTTAGCAGGGCTAAGTGCATTACGAAACAATCAATAAATTTACTCGGGCGCTTATACCGGTGCTCAACTCCAGGAGTCTCAAAGCTCAAAGTCCTGCTTGTGGTCCATGTTTATGGGCCGCCCAAGTTGGGGATTATATATTCCTGGCTGGGAGTGTGTGAGCCAACCACGTGCCTGAGCATGACACAGTCCTAGCCCAGTCGAGTCGTAATTCATTTGCATAACATTAACGGGCGGGCGGATGCCATAACATGAGCCACATGCCAGGGTCTAAACTGGGCCAGCAGCAAAGTTTAAATAAAATATGTGTGCTAACGAATTAACCTTAAACACTTTGTTGGCTTTCAGGTGTACAAGTGTTGAGCAGCAGAACGAATTCAAAAGGTCGTGCCAACTTCATTGGCTCAGCCTGCAACAAAAACGGGCTTTGCTGGTTTAGACTCTGGATGCTTTTATATATGTACAATATAAAATCATTTTTTAATATAATTGGAAGAATGTTTACAACCTTGTTTTCCACATAAAGCCAAATTGATTAGCATTTTTATTTATTATTATTTTTTTAAAAAATTATTCCTTGTTGGTTTACTCAAAAGATCCTCATACTTTATTTGCTTTTCATTTAAAATTTTGATTTGTTTGTAGTCAGAAAAATTTTTGCAGCTTAGCAAGGAAATACAGGTTAAAGGCTTTTATCGACTTAAATGTGGAACGCATGGCAATAAATTGATTTAAATAATAAAATGTTAACAACAAATTTGCCCTTAAAAATTGTTTTATTACCAAAAATAATAATTTTGGGACTGAGCTACCTTAAATTAAAGTACTGTTTCTGACTTTTTTGTAGGTGTTCATTGCTTTAGTCAAAATAAAATAATTTGCTACCTTTGTGTTTTAAATCAAATATTTTTCCTTGCCTGTCTTTAAGTGATTAGCAAATAAAAGGTTTGCAATTTTACATTTTTTATTAGTTTTGAAACGAATTAAAATCTTCAATTGTGTATAAGAACAACCTTACCCCATTTCTCTTTCGGCTGTTAAGACTCCCCGAATTAATTACAAAATTATTTTTCATAAATTCACAGCTTTATTTCATGGAGAATAGTTGACAAAATTAGCGACAAATGGGAGTTATTCGATCGATCTGAGCACTTTACTTCTTGAGCAGAGTGGAGACGACGGCGGGGGCGGCGTAGGCGGAGTACACGGAGGGCGAGGCCACGTAGGAGGCGGAGTACACGGAGGGGGCGGAGTAGACCGAGGGGGCGGCATAAACGGAGGGTGCGGAGTAGACAGAGGGAGCGGCGTAGGCGGAGTAGGCGCGGGGGATGGCGGCGGAGTAGGTGGTCGCAGGAGCGGCTGCGGCATAAGTCAGGGCCGGAGCAGCGGCATAGGTGGCGACAGCGGGGGCCACAACATGAGCCTGGGCAGCGGCGATGAAGAGAGCCAAGCAGATGAGGAACTAAGATATGGGGGAAAAAAGATATAAATAATAATAATAAAATACTACGAAAACTAAAAATCTAATTTCTTGATTATTTTTTCAATCGGAAATTTGAAATATTTTTTATCAAGCTGTTTCTATATATGTATTATATGTATTTACATATATTATATGTATTGTAATTCTTTACTTTTTAGAGACCTAAGGATATTTAATACAAATATATATGTATTTACATATATTATATGTATTGTAATTCTTTACTTTTTAAAGACCTAAGGATATTAAATACAAACTTCACTTACTTTCATATTGATTTTGTTTTTTTGGGTTTGTGTTCGACGAACGTTCTCAAAGATTGGAAGTGCGTTGACTGATGCTGTTCTCCAGTCAAACCCAAGTATTTATACCCCAAGAGGCCAGAGATCCGAAGAACAAGTTACCTACTTTATGCGGATGTGGAATTGGTAGCTAATCCGGGCAAACCATATCGAATGGATTAGTATTGTTCAACCGAGTGTCTGTTTATTTTTACACTCCGACAACAAACCGACAATTGGCCCAAGGGGCAGGAGGGACACATCGATTGACGGACTGGCAGGAATGTCAGCTTCATTGTTTGTCTGCACCTTTTGGGTCAAGTTTGGTGACAAGCAAAAAATGCGAGCAAAAAGCTTTTATAATCACGCTAAACGAAAACCGAGTCAAAGCGGAATCATGAAATAATTACGCTCAAACAGAAAGCGTAAGTGGATAGCAATCACTGTAATTTACGTCATCGAAGTGAGTTTCAATTGTAGCCCTGGCCGTGACATTGAACAGGCTATTGGTCAAATCGTAGAGACTTATCAATCAGAAAAGGTCATTATTATTTCATTTTTGAAACCTTTGCATCAATTACCTTTTTGTCAAATATCTTTAGAGACGAATAATTTAGTTTGGTAAATTGTTTTTATTTGATTATTTATTTTAACAAAAAGCTACAGAAAACATAGTCTTGACTATCAAATAAATATAGAGTGTGAAAGTTAAGTTGGCTTACCAACCTTTCTTTGAAAGAAACGAAACCTTAACTTTTAAAGGTATGTAGCATTCCACTTCTAGATATTTCAAAGAAACAAAGTTGGTAAGTGGGGTTTCGCTAACCCTTTGAACTTCCAGACAACACTTTTCCTAACCCTGTAAAGATATCGTGCCATTTTCAGCTACCGATGTTTGCAGAGAGCTAGTCAACCCTAGACTTGATGTGTCAGTGAAAACTAATTCAACTAACTTAACAACTTTTCAGCAATGGCAAACAAAAACACCGAAGCGGCTGGAATGTCATTTCCCAGTACTTTTCCATTATTATTGACCACGGAGAAACTGTCGCTAAGGACTTGGATTAGTAACGCTGTGAGTTCGTGAGTTACTTACCAATTATGCTAAATATAAGCAAAACTTTTTCTTTGACATAGCTGGTTTGCTATTCCCAACATCTGTATGATCATTTTGTACATATCCTGGAGACAGGCATTAAAAAATCCCATAGACAATACAGCTCCTACAACGATGATCTGGCAAAGGCATATACTCTGCTGTTGGCCCATTTCACCAGGCTGGCCCACAAAGAGTTGGGCAACCGTCGAAGTGTCCTACTGGCCAAGGTAATGAATATTCTCAAATTGCTAAATGGGATGCAGAGGTCGGGAGATCGCAACGTTCAGTTGGTCCGGGGATTCGCTTTGATGCCAATCGCCGACAGAGCCCAAGACGCAGATGCGCAGTTTGTGAGCGTTCTCAAGCAAATCCCGACCCATGTTCCGGCCCTGATTGGACGCGGCTGTCTGGCCTTCAACCAACAAGATTACCTTTCGTCCCTGGGCTTTTTTAAAAGTGTCTTGGCCAGCCAGTTTTCTGGACCGCCGGATGTTCATGTCGGCATGGGGCACTGTTTCCTGAACATGGGTGAACTAGACAGAGCCCGTCGATCTTTTCAGTTGGCCCTGGAACACAATGGCCGATGTCAGAATGCCCTTGTCGGAATGGCCCTGCTGAAACTCAACCAACGCGAGAAAGAGTCCACTCAAGAGGGTATCAATCTGCTGTGTGCCGCCTTTGAAAGGAATAATCGACATGCCGTAATTATGAGTATCCTCGCCAATCATTTTTATTATGCCGGCGACTACGAAAAGGTCTGTGCTTTGGCTGCAAACTCCTATAAGGTCACTGACATTCCGCAGTTGCAATCGCAGAATTGCTTTCAGATCGCCAGATGTTTTCATGCCACCAAGCAATTCGAACAAGCCATGGAGTTTTACACTCGGTCTGTGAGATTGGCACCTGAAGGATATGTTCTGCCCTTCATGGGCCTGGCACAAATGTTATTAAAGCGCGGTGAAATCACAAAGGCCAAGGCCTGCTTGGAAAGATTCCTCAAATTCATGCCCAATGAGGCTAGGGCACTGCTGCTGCTGGCAAAAATTTACCTAAACGAAAGATCTCCAGGACAAATCGATAAGGCGATCAATATGCTGGTCAAAGTGACGTCATTCGTGTCCGCTCGCCATGATTTCGATAGCAGACTGAGTCTGGCATTTGCATATGAACAGAAACAGCTCTGGATGCCGGCCATCGCTGCCTACCACCAGGCCATGAGCATATACATGGAGCACGGACAACAGATCCCTACCGAGTGGCTCAACAACCTGGCGGCCACTCAGGTGAGGGCCAAGATGCCACAGAAGGCACTCCATACCCTCGACCTGGCGATTTTCCAATGCAGAGCCAAGAGTGGCGTTCACGAGGTGACCAATCTGCTCACCATGCGATTCAATAGAGGTCGGATTCTGGAGGATCTCCATAGGTACGACCTGGCCGAGATTGTCTACAAGGAGATTATCGACGACTATCCGAGCTATTACGACTGCTATTTGAGACTAGGGGTGATGGCGATGCAGCGTAATCAGCTGGACAAAGCCAATGAGTACTTTAAGGATGTCCTCAACGCGGACAACGATAGTCTTGCGGCCAGGTGAGTCAAAAAGAAACTACAGATATTTAAAACAATAATAATAAACCATAAATTAAATCAAAACCATTTTGTATTATACTTAGGAATATGCTGAATTGGTTGACGTTGGTTACAAAACCAAAACTATTTCGTATTTAATTAGGCAAATACTTTAATAAAACATTTCTTGAATTTTTCATACCTTAGGCATTATATGGCCGACTGCTATATGAAGCTGAATCTAAGCAAACATGCTATAGTAAATTACAACGTGATTTCGCGCCACACTGCAGAATGCAAGGATATCTACACCTTGGTGGCTCTGGGAAATTTCTGTCTCGAGAAAATTCACAGTTCGTTGGATAGAGGAGATCAGTCCTCAGACAACACACAGCTGGAAAAAACCTTAAACTGTTATGTAAAAGTAAGATAAAGTAAGGTTAAATAACTTTCCAAATGGAAATTAATAGAGAATTTTCCATTTCCAGATTCTTGAGCGCAGTCCGCGAAACATATGGGCCGCCAATGGCATTGGAGCAGCCCTAAGTAGTTACAAAAACCTTACCGAAGGTCAGGCTATCTTCAAGCAAATTGTCGAGGCTGGGAATGAGTGCCCCTCCGCCATCCTCAACTCGGCTCACACAGCCTTGGAGCTGGGCCAGTTCAAGGAAGCCAGTGAGACATACAAGCAATGCCTGCAGGACTTTCTGCCGGAAAACAGTGTGGAGGTAATGCAGTTACTAGCCAAGGCTCTTTACGGCGAAGGAAAAGCCCGCGAGGCTAAGATGTGGTTGCTCAAAGCTCGACACTTGGCCCCTAACGATAATTTTTTGATTTTTAATTTGGCCCTGGCCATCATTAAGGATGCAGAACAAGTCTTTGTCCTTCCGCAACCCGAATTGCAGGATCTCACGAGGGCGGAACTCGAGCTTAAAGTGGCGCACAAGTGAGTATGACCAAAAAAGAATACAAAAAAAATAAAAAAACACTTTACTGAGCTAAGAAGTTAAAAAATGAATTTCTAGATCAAATCACCACCAGCAACCCCAAATTGGAATCGATAATGATTCTAATAAATATTTTTTTCCAGCTATTTTTACCATCTGTATCTAGCCGAAGATGGAATTTCGCAGCTCGCTTGTGAGAAAGGGGCCAGTGAATGCCAGAACCTGATGTCCAATTTACACGAGGAATACCAGCGAGTGCTTAACTTGCAGATGACAAACAGGCAGGTGGAGGAGCACGTCCTCCGAGAGAATGAAGTCCTGGGGGTTACCAACAAAATTATGTCCGAGCTACTCAAAGATGATTCGAAGAATGGCCAAGAACCTGGAAGGATATATCAGCAGGACGTGGAAGTAGCCGACGATCAAGACTCTAATGATGAGTCCAAAAACCAAATTGCCAATAATTCTCGCAAAAGAACTATGATTAATGAAAATAAGCCGGCCAAAAAGTGCAAGACAGATGAGTTTTTTGATACAGATGATGACAGTGAAGAGGAGGATGACGAGGATGATGACTTGGAAGACAACGAATCACTTGAGAATGATCCTCAAACGGACTTGGATTCAAATTTAAGTGATGATGAGGAGTCCGAGGGAATCGAAGAGCTATTGGACCGCATCAAGAAAGCCACCGAGCGCCGCCGACTGGAGCGGCAAAACTTTATGAAAGTCCGGGAAAATTACAACGAATGAAGAAATTAAGCAAGACATTTCAGACCAGTGACCAAAGGATCTAGACAGATAAATTCAATAACAACAGAATATGGATTACCTTAAAAATGTTCTTTATTATAAAGCGCATTAATACGAATAAAACTGGAACTCGCCAGGCACTTCTGAGTTTTATTTTTAATATCCCAATATGACAGTGCTTTATTCCCCCTTTTAAGTTGATTATTACCCAAAATGCTGTTAATGAATTTACACATTTTCTTCGTGGAATTCTGACCGAGTTTTCCTGTGGCAAACACAAATGATTCATTCAAATGTGTCAGTTTCTCTCTGGGGAGCGGAGTAAAAACTCGTTTCCCCCCAGAACAGCAGCATTTGAATGCCATCTCATGTCGGTGGAGCCGCAGGCCATTGGTGTCCTGCTCGAATTACCCATACACTTGACTGCCACTTTGTAACTGTCAGGGAATCTAACGAACCAAACCGAGGAACCCAGTCGAACTGAGCTGAACCGAAAGTTAAATATTCGTTAGGCAAACGCGAAAAATGATTCGTAGATGGGGCGGTGCGGCTCATTAATATCAATTTATGAGCTGAGACACGAAATTAGTCTGTGACAAGTTTCGCCGCAGGATGTGGACAAACAAACAAGCACCCGAATTCATCCATCCATCCATCCATCCTGCACCACTCCACAGCCACTCACACATGTCGTTGCTTTGTTTTCTGTTCGGTTGGTGGTTTGAGTGTGGGTTCTGGGTGGTTGAGTGGTTTTCGGGCTTCGTCTGGGGTTGCGTTAATTAATTCCAAAAGTGTATTGCGTGTCCTGCCAAAAGGACAAATATGCGTACACGACTCATGTCCTGTGGTGAAATGGGCTTGTTACGGGTGTCTGTATTGTCGGGCCCCCCACTACCACAAATTATGAAAAATATTTCCAAATAAATCAGGGAAAACGAGCTGTCCGAGCGCACACATAAACCTCACTGCGGAGAAAGTCAGAGAATTTTTGGTCAGGGATTTCTAGTTTTGAAGCAATAGAATTTATTTTTGATTTTCCTGCAAATATTTACCCTCCCTTTATTAAAATAACATCAAAAACTGTCAGTTTTATACACATTTTCTTCTTTATTTTTTGTTCACTTATTTTCACTTGTTTTTGCCCGTTTGCAATATTAAGTTTTCATTTGCTTTACATTAAAGGGAACTGAACGAAAAGTAATGATGTTTGCATGAAAAATAAATATTCAATTCGCTTACAAATAAGGGGTTAATTAAGAAAATATATATATTCCTAAGTTTATATTTGTAGAGTCGAAAGTCCTTAGCTGCTAGATCTAAACCAAAATTAAATTTCATTCTTAAGTTTTTCGATTTTCAATTTATAATTCGAGTCACAATTCAATTTGATTTTGTCATTGAAGAAGCACTTTGCATGTTGGGGTTTTTATGGTGGGAGGGAGAAAGAAGAATCTTTAAATGGAAAAACTTTTAGTTCGACCTTAGAGCGACTACGTTGAGTTGGAAATTGGGCTTTTCTTTGGGCAGGTGGTGGCGGAGACACATTGAACTTTCGTTTTTATTTTGTTTTTTTTTTTGCGCGCGATATAATTATGGATACATACAGATCTTTTACATATTCGTATTATATAGATTTGATAAAGAACTCGACAACAGATGCGTATAAAATTTCATTCCACATTTAACAAAATATGATTCGATGCACATATACAAGTATAACTCATTTCATTTCACACCATATCGTATTGTATCGTATCGTATCGTTTATAATATATATAGTTTGCGCCTATTTCAGATTCCTTTGTTGGTTGCTGCTGCTGTTTTGTGCTATATGTGTTATGTCGATATAGAGATATGCCATTAAATTCTGTAATTTTATCATATATATGATCAGGGGGATAGTCTTTTCGTAGATTCGCAATGTGACTAACTAAGTTCAATTTAGTTTAGGCTACATTAAGTGGCTAAATCGTTAAACTAGTTTAAGTATTAGCTGACCTGATCCTAAATTAAGTTACATATATACACATCTATAGCTTAACTAGTTGCGATTCAGTAAATCTCTTAGTTTGAAGTATAAACTAGTTTTTCGTTAATTTCACAAGCATAGCTCCTTTTGTTCACTGAAGTATTCCACACTCTTTTTTGTTTTTTGCGCACAAAGACAGATTCGAGTTATGCAGTGGTAAGTAAACTAAATAAATGCTTTTCCTTTGTGGTTTCCAGTTACACTTAAGTCGGGTTCGAAAAACAATGCTAAATCCAGTACACATAGGCTATATCTATATATCTGATTTTTAAATTAATTTTCCATCTGCTCCTGCTGCTCTTTGCGTGGAAGTCTTGTCGAGTTTTTGATGCAGCTTAACTACTATAATACATAATTTGGGATTCAGTTACCTCTCCTCTTCGACTATCTCTCAGTGTATCGATCTAATTCTTTAGACGATGGTGGTGCGCTCGGCGCCCAGAGTTGTGGTGGTGCACGTGCTGCTCCCGCCAATGCACACGATCTGACACTTGATGTCCTCTTTGGCTAACTCTCAGGAGCTCACCGTCTCGTAGTTCCCGCCCCCGCCGAGCAGGAGTGGTGCCTGGACGCCGGCCAGACCACCACCCACTCCCAGGGTGGTGCTGTAGGTGGCCGTCTGGGAGCGCGGCGAGGTCAGCAGCGACTGGGCCGCTCCGATGGTGATGTTGCCGCTGGTCACCGAGCTGGTCAAGGCCGCCGAGATGCCGCCCACGTGCAGGCTGCCCGGGTGGGGCAGGGTGTTGCATGCACCACCGCCCACCAGACCCACGCCCCCCAGCCCGCTGCCGTTGGTCTGCAGCGATCCGTTGGACTGGCCGCCCAGCAGGGGCATCGTGCAGGTGGTGGTGGATCCGTAGGGCGAGGTGGGCGAGGTCCTGGTCTCGTACGCCGGCAGGTGGTAGCCGCCGGCTCCTGCCGCCGTGACCGTTGCTCCGCCCCCGCCACCCCCCGACCCGGGATGCGGGTGTAGATGTTCGGGGGCGTCCGCGTGGACAGGAGGGGCGGTGGGGCGGTGTAAACGGGTCGCTGAGCGGCAGGAGCTCGCTGTGGAGTGTTGTACAGGCTGAAGGCAGGATTCGTGGTTAGCGAGAGTTCACCGTACTGCAGAGAAAGCGCAAGTAAAAAATGTTTGATAAATTAATTAAGATTTTAATAATTATATTTTGCACAAGTATTTAAAAAGTGTATTTTTTTGGGAAATGTTTTCTAAAAAATGTATTCTTACATATTGCATTGATTAAACTTTGCACAATCATAAATTGTAATGGTTAAAAGCTTCGTTAAGGGTAAATATATACTTCAAAGTTAACTATTAATTACAATAAGTTAAGCTATTGGCTTCTTATACATTTATATTTATGAATTAAAAAATTGCTTCATTTTAATGGTTTAGGTAAGCAAAAACATAACCTTTGTGTTTATAATAGCTTGCAAAAGTTCATTAAAATTAAATGGTTGTAAAAAATAAAAATTTAATTACTTTTTCCATTCAAAAAAAGGAGACTAATTTACTTTTACTCAGTTTGTAATTAGTTCCCTTTTGTGATATGTAATATTTAAACTAAAACTTTGATGAGGATTTCCCCCAACCTTTTTGATGCCACATTTATGACGAACGCTGGCAAAAACAATTTCTAATCGAAAAGTTCGCAAACTGACCCACACAAACACCAAGAACTTCTAATGAGCTTGTTAGGAACTCAACTCGGAGTGACAGACCAACAGAAAATTACAAAAAGCCAAGCTAAACAAAAACCTAAACATTTTTGAACTTTTCCTGGCGACGACTGTCAGGCAAAAGCATTTTGCTCATCAAAATTTGATGCCGCTTTTGGCCACCAGACCTCAAACAGGAAAAAAAAAAAAGAAGAAAGTTAAACAATGGTACAAATTTAAGCAAAAGTGCACTGGATGTGGACACTAAGGAAAAGTTTAGGTGGGCCAACAACTTGTTGTTGCTGCGGAAAACAACGAAACTAATTTGTGTAATTTATTTACGGTTTCTGGCTAATTGACGGCAAAAAAGAAAAAAGTGAATTCTAGCCTTGCCACACTGTTGCTAAAGGATTTTTATGAAATTTGTATATAAGTAACAAAATTTATAAATACATACACATATAAATTTCGGTAAATTTGTACGTTGCTATTACGGATTTTGTATAAGTAAAATTAAAACACAAAATAAGAAATCATAATTGGGGAAAAAATGTATTTATATTTATTGATTGAAACTCCATTTTTATTTTTTTGTAAATTTGAATTACGCTCCTATAGCTCAATAAAATTGCATTATTCGTAATGTATTGTAATATAGTTTGTGTTATAGAATTCAATAAAAGCGTGCTTATATTTTCTTTTAAATATTAATTCTCATAAGAAAAAATGGATTGTAGTCAATAGAGAATGTACCAAATGTATATCATTGTTCTGCCAAATCATATTATGCGATTCGCAGATTAAAACCCATCGCACTTCCAGCCCCTGAAACCATTCTATTAATTCGAGACTTTTATAAAGCAACAGCCAAAAACTAGGCAACACTTTACGTTTTTTCCTTTGTATAGCGCTGTGAATCGTTCACAATAGCAACATTGAATCCGGGGAATCACAAATCGTAACACTGAATAGCTAGTCATATTCACCTGTTTGCCAAACGTCGGCGACAGAGAGGGCGGTGGCGGGGAGGCAGTGTTAATCCGCGTCGGCGGGGTGTACAAAATCCGCTGCGATTCCATATTCAATCGGTCGAAGGCCTTCTCCTCCTGGTGGAACTCGTCCTCGCTGTTGGCCTCCTGGGGCACCACATCCGGGTTTTTGTCCTCGAGGCTGGAGTGGCTGCCCATGTTGCGGGACAGTGGCTCCGCGCTCCCCTTGTCCGCCTCCGTGGTGGTGGCATCGCCCCCGTTCCCGTGGCGCCTCCCGCCCCGCTTGCTGCGGAATTTGATAACGATCACCACGCAAATAGCCACCAGAATGAGTGTGGCAATCACGCCCACCAGGGCGCCCAGCAGGGGCGTCAGTTGCACCAGCACCGCCGTCGACGAGGCTATGGAAATTGCGAAAATGGAGAGCAGATGCGGGGAAAATGTGAAAAATTAAATGGCAAAACGTGGACAATTCAAAGAACAAAAAACCCTTTACGAGAGTGTTGCCCTCGTTCGACTAGACCAATTAAACCCACCAAAGTGGTTGATAAAATGTTAATACATTTATGGAATTCTATAAAATAA